TTCTGGAGAGATGGCTTCGAAGCACTTGGAGCATATTTCAGAAGTTGGTTCAATAGCATTTTTGGCTGAAGAGGAGGCGTCTTTATTTTGTAAAGCTTGAGAAAGTCCAATATCGGCGTTGCTCTCGAATAATATAGGATCCCTTCTGCGTTCGTCTATAGTTAATGATGTATCTTTTCCACGGCCGGCCTCTGTCATTTGCGGTGATATTTCCATTGAATCTTCTTGCAGTTCTGTTTCGGATGGTGAGAGGGTCGTTTCGATATCTTTGTTGCACCTATAGACAGGACACCTTGGTTCTGATTGTAAAAGATGTTTTTCGAGACAAAGTTGGTGGAAGAGGTGGCCACAGAGGGTCATGGTGAATGCTCTAAGTATGGCATGCGGGTTTGAAAAAATCTCACCCTCGTCACATAATGAGCATGGCGAAAGTTTTGGAATCTGAACATCAGTAACAAGGGTTTTCGGGACCTCATTCAAAATGTTTTTCGCTAGAGCTATTATGTGGGTTTTATCCATGCTTTAGCGACGAAAAAAAACAAATCTCATATCGCATATATACCAGTTCATAGGTCGCTCGAAAAAATATCTCAACTCGAAATAGCATTACATCCGAAACGGTGCAAAGATAGGTATTGTTTTTATTATAGCAGAATCATTATGGAAAGGCGAGTTTCATGATCGGCGAAAAACATGAAAATTAATAAAAAACGACGAATGAGAGTATATGTGAGAAATTAGGTCGCACAAAAACATGTGGATTCAGGATGATAACTTCGATCCTCAAAATGGAATGCACGTGGGAATAAACATGACCCTTTAGGTCGCCCCTTCGGGCTTTATTATAACAAAATAAAAAACATTGCCCGTAGTAAGGCAGATACAAAAAATAAGGTCAAAGACCCATTACACGATAATAAATTTGCGAATACATATTCAGCTGTGGAACAGCGAGCTCCGCTCTTGAAATGCACAGATATTATCCGATAGCGGAGCTAGTGACAAGTCACATAAAAAATCTATTTATTCAGGGAGGAATACTAAAACGTGAATTTCATCTTCATTAATATCTCTGTCATAATATTTAGAAATTTTTGTCATTGCTTTCATTCTCATTCCACCTGCCGTTTGAAGATTGATTTTTGTAGAAGGAACATTATTTGTTAGGGGTGCTAATCGTTTCTTTACCAAGGGTTTAAGCATATCGACCTTTTTTTCTTTAGGAATTTCGATTACAAAAATTTCTTCATCATTTGTATCACCATGGACGTGAAAGTTGAGACTAATAATGTCAGATATTTTTGTGGTTCCTAAAACGAAGATTCATAGTGAGTAAAATTCCTTGTATAGATGAATAATTTCTTGTAAATAATACCTGAATTGATGCGATGTAATATTTCTTCAGGATTATGTGTACCTTAAAAAAATGTGAGTAAGGACAGAGTCTCCCAAAACCTACTTATTTATATACTTCACGAAATCTAAAACTCTCTAGAGGAATCTTACCTTTATCATTCAAATTTCCAATAAGTCTACTTACGATCTGTTCATTCTTAACATAGTAATTATAAAATCAGCGAAATTGAAGTAAACCTGTTATATTGTCATATGCAACGAAACGCCAAGAATTCAACAAAGCTGAAACGTATATATATATTTAGTGTTATTGAGGAGAATAAATTCTATTTAGATAAGACGATCATTCCGATAAGGCTAAATCTTGACAATCTCGCAATCTTGCAATCTCGACTCCCCATAACTTGGGGTTTTTGTTAATCTTACTAATAAAACATTAACGGTCTATTTTTTCTTATATCCTTTTTGAGTTTCGTTTAGCATATTCTTATCAAAAAGTATATGTATTTCTCAAGCTAAATAAAACGAAAAAAATATGTATAACGATTATCTATGCTGTACAAGAATGTTCCACAAACTTCTATATAGAAACTGGATTACACGAAACATGTGAGATCTGACTTGTGATCAATTCTATCAATTTTCCTGAAATAAAATTAATGTTTCGATCATGGGTAATAGCGGAGCTAGTGCTAAAGCACATAGAAACATCAACGTAATACGTAAAAAAAATCTGATTATCGTGGTTTATTAATGCAATTGAAACGGAATTATGTCAGGAGCGTCAGGTGGTGCATTTCCAAATATACATATGTGTCAAAGACACTAGCTTCACTATAGTTCAGAATAATCGAACACTCCTACTATACTATCTTTACGTATATTCTTGACTATAACAAAAACTATTTTTTGAATTGTATGTGTGCTCATATTTATGAGAATTATGTAACTTTATATATTGGGAGAGATTACATATTAACCTTTACTTATTTTTATATACTATACTTTTCTTATTTCGCTTCTTTTTAGTCATAAAATAGACTGGCCCAAGGTCTTTAGACTCATATATTTTTTTTGTTGGCTTATCTTTTGGAATACATCTATGTGTTTTCATATCATCAGATAATTCAGTTTCAGAATTTGAGGTATTGCTATTATAATCATAATTATCTGAATATATTGTGACGCAATATTTTTATATTAGTTATCTTATTTTATTTTCATATGTATTT